GTACTCTGTCCATTAAAAGCCACCAGTGTGTGGGGGGGGGGGGGACAAAGGAGGAGCCCAGCCCCCCATCCTTTGGCATGACAAAAGGCAGCAGGAACCTCCCCTTTCTCATGTCACCTGAGGTCGCACAACCAGCATGGCACATCAGGAGAGTGTGCACCCAGGACCTTCACTTTGAAAGCACAGGGCTCTAACTGCTCCAGCTAGAGGAGGAGCTCCTTCAGCTGGCAACAATAGCAGGCTGTTGCCCATCACATAGGCTACAAGAACATGACTGACTCCAATCTCCAGCAGATCAAGTCTTGGGTTCCCCCAAGTACAGAGCCACCAGGCCCTTCCCCTGGGGAATTATATGCCCTGTGCTGCATGTCTAGGTCCATAGGACAGTACATCAGAGCCTTCACGTGAGAGAAGGGAGGGGGCAAAAACGGCAATGGACAAAAGATGCAGAGTTTCCAGCAGCGCTGGCAGCAGAGGGAAAAGCAGCCCCCAAACCTTCACCCTGGAATGCAGAGGCTGGGGAGGAAACCAGCCAGTCCAGGAGTGGATGTGGCAGTGCCATTGTCCCTCGAGTCCTCCAGGGAGGGACCTCTCCAGCCTGCATCTCTCAGACGGATGCATCGACTTCTTGGCATGGCAACGTTTTGCCCCGATGCAGGTCTCAGCATCTTTCCCATCCCCCACCAGGGGCTTCCCTGGATCTGGGTTGAGTTTAGTCCATGGTGGAGAGGAAAAAAATATACTGAATGACTCAAATGAAGGCAGCAGCCAGCATGGAGTCTGAGGAGATGAAATGCTGCTCAAGCCAGTCCAGGGAGGTGAGAGCTCAAAAGTCACACGAGGGGGAAAGGAAGGTGTCTGGCGGCCTGAGCAAAGGCTGGCAGGAGAGTGAGATGGAGCAGGCACCTGCAGAGAGCAAGAGAGGATGGCATTAGCGGACAGCCGGACAAGGAAACCCCAAAGAACTATGGCCAGTTGAGTTAGAACCAGAGCTAGGCAGGGAAAAAGACGGTGTCCCCCTGGAAATACCAATATCTCAGCTTTCTTTGGTCCCAAATCAGGAGGAAGAGGTCAGAATACTAAAGTTTTCACAGAAGAAAAAGTTCAAAGAAATGGCAACGTTTCGTTCCAGATCCGTTCAACGTTCAACAGAGATGGCTTAACCCACCGTGGTGCTTCATGGGAGCTGCAGTTCAAGTTTCTCCTACCCACAATTCTCCCTTCTATGTGGCTGAACTACAACTCCCATAAGGCACTGCAGCAGCACAGGATGATGCATTTTGATGTTGAACTGATTTGGAAGAAAAACAAAACATCTTATTTGTTGAAATGAACCAAGATCTTTCTGTTCAGGTGGAACTGGACCCCCAACTGTTTTACTGAGATTTATGAAGGAAACCCCCAAAGTTTCAGCAAAACTGGTTTTTCCACAGAAGTATTTGGATTTGCAGCAACTACATTTTCCATCAAAAAGTCATTCTGACAGAAAATGTCTACACAGTCAGAATCCAGATTAATGCCACCTGAGCTAAAGGTAAAGCGCTATTAACTGCTTGCAGTACAGGGCTTATGACACACAGTGGAGCAGATCAGAATCCATCCAGCAGAAGCCAGCAGACACGTACACATTTAAGGGCCAGCTTCTGACATGCAGTCCCCTCATTCCCATCCACATGCAGACTAAATCTTTCTCGCCTCTTCTTTCTCCAACGCTGCTTGTGTCGTGACCTGAAACCATAACGCCATGGGCCTTATTCCGACCACGGATGCAGCACTGGATGCAAATTGTTCATGTGCTTTTGATTCACACTCCCTTGGAAGATTGGCTCAAGGAGGCTTGGATTGGAACTCCTCTGGGACTTCACACTGGATATGGCAGGACTGGGCAAACTGGGGAGCGGACAGGGAGTCTTGCTGTGTGTGAGAGGAACCAAAGAGTCCCTACCAATACGCAGTGGAACTACCCATAAAAGGGTCATGGATGCAGCATTTCTAACTGGACCCTCTCTGTCCCTGTCCGGTCAGAGGGTGCATGGAGTCTGAGCCACACTGGCAGTGCCAGTTCGCCCATCCCCGTCTTTGGGACAGTATCCTGCTGCCCAAGAACAACGTGGGCACAGAGCAAAAACCGTGGGAGTGGGGAGCCTAGAATTGCTCTGTATGGCATCTTCCCCCCACCCCCAGCAAGAGAGGGCGGGTGAAGGAGTGTCAAGCGATTTCCTCTCCTCTACGCTCTTTGCACAGAGGCCACCTCACCTGCAGCGTCCCAGGGCCGGTCTCCTGAGCCCTTCACCTCTTGTGCAGCCGCCTCATGAAGCAGCAGGTGATGGTGGCGAGGATGGTGATGCCCGTGAAGAGGGCACTGGCAATGCCCACGATGAGGGGAATGAACAGGGTGTCCATGGCTGGAGAGGAGAGCAGAGACACCCATCAGACCCTGAAAGGGGGGTCAGGGGGTGACACAGCCAGGCCCAGGGACCATCAGCTGGCAGAGAAGCCAGATGGCAGGAGGTGGAGAGGGCTTGGTGGAAAGGGATATGCAATGGGGGATATGCAATGGCTGGGATAGCTGGGGGATATGCAATGGCTGTGTTAGCTGGGGGATATGCAATGGCTGACTGCCAGATGTAGGGATATTCGGGGGAGGGCACGGCAGCACTCACCCGAGGTGTAGGGATACATGGAGGGCAGGGTATGAAAGAACTAATACAGGACATAGAGATACACTAGAGATAGGCAACGGCAGTCACCCAGGGTGAAGGGATACGCAGGTGTGGAGGTGATACACCTGCAGGGCGTAGGGATACACAGGGGCAGGGAGAACACAGCAGCACTCACCCAGGGCATAGGGATACGTGTGGGGGTGGCACATAACACTCACCCAGGATGTAGGGATACACGGGAGAGGCCACAACGGCACTCACCCAGGGTGTAGGGATACGCGGGAGAGGCCACAACGGCACACACCCAGGGTGTAGGGATACGTGAGGGAGGGGGCACAGTGGCACTCACCGAGAGCGTAGGGATACACAGTGATGGAGTTGGACTTCACGGCCCTGGCATTGTACCAACTGTCGTCCGCGTAGCGCACCCAGGCAGTGACGGCGCAGTGGTACTTCCCCTCGTCAGACGGCTGCACTCCATGGAGCCGCAGCCGGTGACAGTGCGGCCCGACCTTGTCGACACTCATGTCCCCGCCCGATGCCCGCCTGCCCAGCTCCGCTACTCCCTCGCGGTTCACAGACGCCACCATCCGGCCCGGGGGCTCCTCGTCCCCCACCGTCAGCTCCACCCACCAGCTGACAGCCACATGCACGGCCTGGGTCGACTCCACCGAGATGTTGCACAGCAGCTCGGCTGTGTCCCCGCGGTAGGTGGCGGGGACGGGCAGCCATGCATAGACCATCAGCACCACATCTGCAGAGGAGACAAGGGCAGCAGGCGGTTAGTGCACGTGGCCCAGAGTCCAGTGCTTAGCCCCCAGGCCCATCAGGGTCTGACCATCCCCCACCAGCTGAACCCTGTGGCCATCACAGGCCAGGGGGATGGGACCACACACAGAAACGCATCTAGAAAACTGAACACAAAGTTGCCCAGCAGGGCATGAAAACTAGTGGTGGGGCCTGCTCAGAGCCTCTAGCCCCCGCCCTCCCCAGAAGGGGGCGCTGAAGGGAGTGGTGCTAGAGCGCTGGCTCTGGGGTGCTCGCACCCAGGTTAATCACACCCTGTTGGAACAAGAGGATTCACCATGCCCAGGAGCCCAGGGCAGACAGCAGAGTGGGGAGGGCAAAGGGAGCCCCCAAATGCACCCCAGCCCCTCTACCCAGTCCACGCCTTGTACCTTCTGATTTCATGTGCACCTTCAGCCCCTGCGACCGGCTGCTGGCCACCTCCTGCAGCTGTGCATCGGGGGAGCGCATGTAGACCCGGGCCACACAGCGGTAGGTGCCCACGTCCCCTGGCTGGGCCGACTCAATCCGCAGCCGGTAGGTGCCTGGGGTGGGCGTCAGCTTCTGCAGCGAGACTTGGTGCCTGCCCCCTTGGCCGTTGGCATAGCTCTCCCCTACGACGGCCACCCCATCCGTGTCCAGCTGCACCACCAGCAGCCCATCCCCGTCCTGCTCGCCCACCTCCCAGCCCACGGCATACACCACGTGGGGCACAGGGGGTACGGGGCTGGACACGTTGCACAGGAGCTCCAGAGCATCTCCAGCGCTGAGCCGGACCTCAGGTGGGCTGGCCGACACCGCCAGCTGGCTCGCTGAAAGGGAACCAAAGAGGGGATGGGGAAGTGAGAGCAACCACACAGCCCAGCCCGGCCCTAAGGAGCCCCATGCATTGAGATGGCTCCCCTCCCAGCACTAACCTGGAGTCACTTCTGGGGTGGAGCACAGCTGCTGTTTAACAGCTGCACAGCAGCTTAGGGCAGGGTGGGAGCAGGGTAGGAGCAGGGGTGGGCAGAGAGATATTTCCTGCTCAGCTGCAGAGCCCCTCACACAAACCTCAACTTGAAGCCCCCCAGGAGAATCACAGAGTCCTGCTCCCTTGAGCCACAGGGCCTGATTTCTTGCCACTTGGCCACCTGCAAACATGACTGCTCTGGGCTCACTTTGCACTAGGGCAACCAGCTGCTGAGACAGGGGACAAGAAACAGTGAGGTGGGGTGGCCCAAGAGGCAGGATCCCAGCAGGCAGAGGGCTAGCAGCTCCCACAAGGACAATGCCTGATCTCCTCCCCCTGACAGCATCAGCAAATGCCCTGTGGTCCCTTATCCTGCCTCCTCACGGGGCCCAGCCCAGCAAGGACAGACACAGTAGATGGCTTGGGGTCAGAGCCAGCCAGGACTCACCAATGGACTGGACAGTCACTTGGGCCAGTGCTGCCCGTTTCTCAGCGATCAGCTGCCAGGTGCCATCAGGGTCCTGGATCCACTCGCCTACTGTGCAGTGGTAGTTGCCAGCGTCACCCAGGCGCACCCGCCCGATGGCCAGCGTATACTGCTCGGTGCCTGCCTTGGCCACAGAGAGCTCCCCGGAGCGGTACCGCTCGGCAAAGTGCCCGCCCGCTTCCACAGCAAAGTCACGGCACACCCCGACCACCTCCTGCAGCGTCTGGTGCCCCACGGGAGCCTCTGGGGCCGAGACCCCAAAGGAGACGGAGAGATGCGTGTGCTGCAGCGTCTGGCTCTGGGCCGTGCAGCTCAACTGCAGAGCCAGGCCCTCCGACAGGCTGAGCTGCAGGGGGGAGGTGCCGACCATGCGGCCTCGAAGAGGGGGTCCGTGTGTGAGGGCCGAGACCCGGAGCTTGTCAGGGATCACTGCAGGGGGAGGAGAGGAAAAGAGAGATGGGAGCAGGATCAGGCTGGTCTCTGGAGCAAAGGAGGCGAGAGTTGGGGAATCAAGACACCTCGGGGTGACCCCTCTGCTCCCCAAGGGGAAAGGGGGTGGGGATGGGGTGCTGAGCCAGAGCCTCGCAACGGAACTCACTTGGTCCAAGATTCTAGAACATGTTCGAGGCAGAATCGGGGAGGAGAGGAAAAGAGAGATGGGAGCAGGATCAGGCTGGTCTCTGGAGCAAAGGAGGCGAGAGTTGGGGAATCAAGACACCTCGGGGTGACCCCTCTGCTCCCCAAGGGGAAAGGGGGTGGGGATGGGGTGCTGAGCCAGAGCCTCGCAACGGAACTCACTTGGTCCAAGATTCTAGAACATGTTCGAGGCAGAATCGGGAATAGAATCCAGGGATTCTGGCTCCCCCCCCCCCCCCCCCCCCCCCCCCCCGCCCGCCCCCTCCCCACCCCAC